CAAATGTTTGCTGTTCTGGCTTAGATGTTTTTAATTAGAAGTTTGCTGTATACACTGTATATATACCGCTTGATTTCGGCCGAGCGCGAGTCAATCTCGCCGAGTAGTATTGCCAGTAATAGCCCCGACAAATAGCAACTGACTTTGCTATTGGTATAATCCGTCCTCTTTTAGCATAAAGCAAATTATACTCATTTCTCGAGACAGATATATTTACGTTTTTAAAACTTGAAGAGGAAAAAGTCGCACGTGTTTTTAGTACGATTGGATCTTTTATGTTGTTGTTCATCGCCGTTCAATGGATCGATAAAGCATATTATTCAAACGATGGTGATAAAAGAAGAGTTTAGAAGAAAGTAAACTTAGATCTAGAGAAGCAAACATGTCAAGAAAAATATAGACTAAATTAACCCTTTCTCTCCCAGAATCAAGCATCGAGTCAATTGTTGTATTTTTAAATCTGTGGATGAAGTCTTTTAAGCCTGGTTTTCACTAGCGACGCAAGTATCAGCGCAAGCACAAGAGCCCTTATTTCGCCGTGAAAACGGGCTTGACGCAAGCATAAGCACCAGCGAAAGCACAAACTGTTTTGATCCTTGTGCTTCACGCGCTTGCGTCGCATGTGAAAACGGAACATAACACAAGCACAAGGAAAAAGCAGTAATTTTTATATTATTGTGAAATAATTTTTGAACAAAACAAAGGTTACTTCAGAAAATTATCTCCGAATTAAAGTCATTTGTGAGTTATTGTGCTTTATATTTTCACCTTACCTTGATTCTTCGAATCTTGCTGGTTAAAAACGTCGTTGCCGTGAAAATTGTTCCTTTCGCTTTTAAGCAAAAGTAACATTATTGGAGCTTTCAGTCAATGAGTAAAACATTAGATTCGTGTTTTCCGTGAGTCAAATGCACAAAAACCTGGTTTTAACAATGATCAACGGCTGGTGAATATTTCGTTCTTGTGCATGCGTTCGTTTTCGATCACTTGCCACAAAACTCTTATGCTTGAATTGCGCTTGTGCTTGCGTCGCTAGAAAAAAACAGGCTTTAGCGTGTGACCATTCACATGAAAGCTAACGAACAGTACTTTCATGTGGTACTGTTCGTTTTACCATATCTTGCAAAATGAAATTTGGGATTTTTTGTCAATTTCGAACTTTGACGCTCTTGGGAGTTTTCTTCTAGATTTTTATCTTTTACAACAGTTTTGGAGCCTGAAAAAGTTACGGAATTGTCAAGAACTTTCACTGAACCTCTCAGGGTTCTCATCAGGACATGATAATGAATATTATATTAGTTACTTCATTAAGAATGCTGGAAAAATAAAAATAAAAACATGAATATTGATTCCCTAAGGTGTTGTCTTACTTGTCTTATTGTTTTAGTTTCTTAGGATACTAGTATTTAACTATGAATATTTACATAATTACAATACGCGATCAGCTTCTAATATACACATAGATTATCAAAGAACAACTTATGGTAAATTTTCTGTAAAATACAGAGGGGCACAATTATGGAACACTTTACCGGTACCAGAAAACCTAGCACATTTAAAAACTCTGTTAGGATATATATATACAGTATTATAACAATAGACTGCGAGCAGTCTCTATTTTTCGCTAAAGTCCGTGAGGCGAACGCGCGATTTACGAGTGGCGCGCGCCGCGAGTTGCGTGGGCGCGAGAGGAAGCTAAGGGAAAACATTCGCGGCGCGCCACCCGTAAATCGCGCGTTCGCCTCACGGACTTTAGCGAAAAAGAGAGACTGCTCGCAGTCTACTGTACAGTCTAGAGAAACGGGGGGGGGAAGGGGGGGGGAGCATCCCATCTAGGGGGAGTAGCAATACTTCTAGTCGGCTTCATGCTAAGGAAACTGGGATAAGCTCCGGCAGTGTGGCTTTATCTAGCTACGTCACGGATGGCGCATCTTGAAAAAAATAGCCAATTTTTTTCAAGTTCGCCATTCGCAATCCGTCTTAATCTTCCCCAACCTCAACCATCCTTGTTCCTGTATGATTTGTTATCACCTCTTTGGTGTTTTTCTACCTTAGTAAACTATTATTTTGAGGCTTTCTTCAATTTGAAGGTGATTTTGCACTTTGCAAAAATGACTTAAAATATCGTGACATAGCTCAACAGCCTTTGTTGTTGTTGCTTTTTTCTTCTACTTTTTCACCTTTTAACTCTGATACTCTTGAAAGTAAAAATATTAAACAGTGACACCATGGTCACACTTTTGTATTTTTTACCCATGCACAGGTTTCTCTCTCACTTGTCAAGTCTGTGGCCCTGTGGAACCCTGTGGTGCTAATGTAAAGAGCTTGCAATGCACAGTCCCTTATGACCGCTGTATTACAGTTACCATGACAATGTCTACCCAATTTGGACCAATGACAACTGTGACGAAGAATTGTTCCCACTCTACGATGATGTGTCCACAACAATCTCAAAATAATCGTACGTATTACATCCAGCTATTTAGTGGGGGGCCACGGGACGGGATTACAAGGTACGGGAAGCGGGAAGCTCAGACCCCCCTGCCCCCCCCCCCCCCCCCCCCTCACACACACACACACACACACTTACCATTTAGCCTGGTTTGTTTGTTGCCTCCAGACTACGCGATAAAAGGACGCAAAACGTTAGACTGCAGGAAGTTTCCCTCCTTTCTTCAGATTGGAGATGACTACAGGCGCGGATCCAGAACAAAATATGACTGTTTTCCGACTGTGCGCTAGGAAAGTCCCTGCATGTGCATGATTCCCCGGAAAGTCTTTCAGATTTGTGTCCTACAAAACATCAAATTCTGATTTCTTGAGGCTAACATGTGGTTTCGTTCGATAGAAAATTTTTGTGAATTTTTTTTGTTTATTCGGTACTCAGTTACTCAGTTACTTACCGACCGACCCTCTCTAATAAGCACCCCCTTTTGTAGTCAGATTTTGAAATGAGCCCCCCCTCTCTATTAAGCCACCCCCCCCCCCCCCCCTCCCCCCGTTAGAGGTCAGAGTTAAATGGTAAATGTAGAATCTAAATTGATTTCCATCTAGCTGATGTAAATGACGTTTTAGCAATATGTTCTGGCGTTTCATTCACTTTGTATTGAGACGTGGTCTTTAATTTCCAGAAGTATCTGTTAGCAGAGCTTACTTACTTTAACTTACTTCTATTCCAGCCTGCCAAGTACTTACCAGCTCCATGCCTAATGCCACGTGTACAAGCACGTGCTGTGCAGGTGATATGTGCAATCAAATGGCAAATGGTACGATAACGCCTACAGCAACAGCTGCGGTTGGGTCGGTCTCGTTAATTTACAACAGTACCTGGGTACGAACCATGGAGCCACCATCTGCTGGGACAGCCATCACTGCAACCTTCGGCGCCATTTTTCTGGTCTTTGTAACGGCTTTGTTGGCTTTGTTGGGCTAAACATTACTGACAACAATATGAACAGAAAAGTTCATGAGCTGCGTGACACTTGTTAGAGACTAATTAAATTTTAGGTTAAATAAAATAGAAGTAGTAGTTTGTCTCGTGTGATCGAACGGTGAGTGTAGTCCTGAAAAGGACTGTTGATGGTGACTAACGTTTCGACAGCGGCGGAAGTCATTTTCAGAGTGCTAGAAACTGATTGGTTAATTTAAGTTTAATTAGCCGCGTGATGTTTTGAGTTCAAACCATTTACTATCGAATAATTGGGTTTAGCCCCTCATCAGTGCATGTTCAATTGTTCGTTGAAGATTGCTTAGCCTCCCGGGAGCGGCCTCTCTTAGGAACAGATTCAAGTGTTCGATTACAAAGAATGGACCTTGCCTAAGTGTAGTCTGTATGCGTAGCTGTGACTATCACTAGGAGAGGTGTTCATTTATATTCAGTACGTTAGATCTAGAAACCATTTTATTATAACGACAGTCTATCTTTACTAGTGGCTTATCAGGCCGTCGCTTGTATGAAGCAACAAGGAGTATCGCTACACCCTGGATGGGATGCTAGTCCATTGCTGGTGGCAACCAGCGATGATTCAGCGGTAACCATTTACCGGTGACAATTCAGCGGTAACCATTTACTCCTGGGTAGAGAGAGGCAATGTGAGAGTCAAGGGTATTCTCCAAGAACACAACACCGTCAATGATTTGTTATTAGTAATGCATGGGTTAAACTCTTTCTTTTTTGTTCTAAATGACATAGTTAGTATAGAATTATTCAGTCATGATGTCTGTAGATAAGCTGAAAAATGATGCAAAAATAAAGACGAAATTAACATGTTTGGTTTCATCTTTGGTACGAGAAGCGTGCAGGGACGACATCGTTCATCCTCAGTTTTAAACTTAGCACTCTTGGGAGTGAAAGGGTTAAACCGCGTCCGTGTAAACGCAGCATAAATCCCGCGTGGTAGTGAAAACAACTTCTTGTACATTCCACATTCTTGCGTGTTTTTTGCTTGTCCTTGGTTCTGTCAAATCCTTATAAGGTACGCCAATGGTGTTAAAATGATCACAGTGAAGTTAATAATTATGTTATTGCACCTCCTGGAGGTGTATATCATTGCAATAGCCTGAATTCATGCAAAGAACGAGTCGAATTGAGCTGAATCTGCTGAGGAGAAGGTTATAGAGAGCATCTGGCTGTTTTAGAAACTTTCCCGGGTTTTTCCTTGAGGTAAGCACTAGCTATAGTCAATTTTAAACCTGAGCATATAATTTCGATGTAGCGTCTAGCCTGCGTATCAGGCCTTTTATCTTACATCTTCAGAGTCAGATGACTTCCGCACAGGTTGTCGAAACGTCAGTCACCAACAACAGTCCTTTTCAGGACTACACTCACCCGGACGATCACACTAGATGAACTAATTTTTGTAACGCCGGATAAAGACGATTGCTTCGAATACATAATACGCTATCCTGTCACCACCCCAGAATTTTGTCTGGTTGCCCTAACAGTTTGCCGGCACCCATTTACTGGAGAGAGTGTCTTGCCAAATAACAACACAACACAATGACCCCGGCCAGGGCTCGAACCAGTACCTCTCGATCCGGAGTCTAGCGCACTAAATCATTAGGCCACCGCGCCTCCCACATAAACGACTCAACACAAGAGAGCATGATCTAAGAGAAGGATTCCCCGTGCCCCATGATAATTTTTTAACATCTATTAATAGTTTCGCGTCATGCTATGAAAGTTATTTCTATTTCCTTCTGATCTAGGCTCCGACATCACTGCCTCGTCACCAGCGCCTTGGTTGTGGAACCCTCGCGCTCCCTGTTTTCCCGCCCTTTACCGACGACATGCGACGACGCCTGGGACGAGGCTGCCGACATCACGCTGCTCGAATTGACCAATCAGGTAGCGCTCTTATAATAGCTCAGCTATGGACTGAAAATTAAAAATTATTATTGGAAGAGATCCATGTATGGGGGAATGCTTCTCTTAGATAATCCTCTCTCGCTCAACAACGTCAGAAAAATGGTTGTATTTCTCGACACTATCATCTACACACTGCTTTATAATTAGTGGTACGACTTCTTCGCTTCGCCTCGAGCTGGGTTTACCTGCTAGATCCGTTAATCCGCTGTTTTGCTAACTGGCCTTTTATAATTTTTAATAAAAAGTTATTTTACGTCAGAAATGATGGTTAATCCCTTCCTTCCTGAATTTCGTTGTATAAAACGCTGTTTTTAATCGCCACCAAAACGTTTTCACTTATAAAGTAATTAAAGTCCTTTTATACCGATGTCAATTCAAATCTAGATCTTATTTAATGAAGAATCAAGTGTGTTACGTCAAAACTGCCCCTTGACATATGGGCGGTTTATATTGATAAAACAAGCTGAAAGCGTCGAAGCAGTATTGTGTAAGCTCACACTTTAGCTATAACAGTCGATGATATCGCTACGCTACTGAACATGGGGCGACTTTGGACGATCGCATCCCTGTTGTGTTGCAGTTTGCTTTTCAGCCCAGGTAAGTAAAAAGTTTCTTATTGATAGATATATAAAAACAAACCGTTTGGTTATTTGTCGTATGGGATTTAATTTAAACCACGCAGAATCAACTTCAGAAAAATATGAAGTCTATTTTATTTTCTGCGTCCGCCCTCACCTCGTTAAACTTTGGCGCCATTTCATGACAATAGTTTCGACTTCTACCTTAACTATCTTTTAGTATCGTTTCATTCGTGAGTTTGAATTCGCCATGTTCGACGAACTTGGCTTTTCCGTGCATGAAATTAATCGTGTTATATTTCGACTTAACCTCCCACTTTAAAAAAAGGTCTTTAACTCGACCGGCTCACTTTTTATCCACCGCTTCGCTTCATTGATGACATCACTTGTTAAAAATCGACGGTTATCTTCGATTCTTAGTTGCAAAACTACGTAAAATAAAACATACGCCCACAAAGTTGCACCAAGAAGTAGCGAACATGGCGGTCTTGCATAAAATTTGTATCGATCATGTGAAAGCAACAGAAGTGTTTACCGAAGCAGTTATTTCGTTCTAATCATTTCCATTGTTGTAAAAGGATCTTTTAGATTACATACTCAATCTCTTTTACTTTGACGATGATTAGTTTTTTCGTGTTCAATAAGAACGTGCCCGGAAAACCTGCATGTGTCGAACTACAGGCGATGGTGAAAAAGCACGTCCAGAAAAGTGCGAGAGAAGAGAGTTGATTTAATGAAAAAGAAGATGAAAAAATACAACATTAGTACTACTGAGTTCTTCGTTCATTTTGCTCGCATTTTTTTTTTATCAGCATCGATCTCTTGCCAAATAGTTATTTTTCCATGGAACCGCCTAATTTATGTGAGTTAAATCGCAATGCCATTTGTGGTTAACCGTTCAATTGGTTGCTAAATTTGAAGCCAGAATTCAGTTCTCAGCTTGAGCTACTCATCTGTTCTATTAACGCTTTCACTCGGCTCTACTGAACGTGTAAGCCTGTGGATGAAACCCTAATGTGTGACTATTCAATTGAAAGCTATTGAGCAGTTCTTTCATGTGGTACCGTTTATTATGCTGTAAAAGGTGGTTCTAACTTTGTGGATGAAAACCCTAGTGTGTGACCATGAAAACTGTACTTCTGCGTAGTACGTACTGTTTGTTTTTCAATATTCTCCGCAATAAAATTTGCGATTCAGTTTCCTTTGTGACAATTTTGAATTGTATAGCACTTTCAAAGAGTGTAAGGACTGTAAGGGTTAATTTGTCATACAGAAAACTTATCTAGTTATTGTTTATCTTTTTTCAACAAGTCGACTTTCATTAGCTGCACTTTTAAGTCTATTAAGACAACAAATCATTCATCGCGGTCCACTTAATTCTTCAGCAAACACAAGGAAAGAAAATATAGTTTGCGTTTCAGTTGAGTGACGCACTAATCTTTGACGATTTTTAATTTCACCGCGCTCTCAGCTAATAAAAAATATACCATAAATGCAAATGGACACAATGTTGATCTATGGAAAGCAAAATTGCATCAGTTGTTAGTTTCGTGAATGTTTTTCAACAAAGCTTATGACAGCGTCAAAAGTGCACTGTAATTTTTTTTTCACGAAGGGGTCGAAACGATTCACACGCGCTGTCATCGCGATCGCGCGCGAATCTTTTTCGACTCGCGGTGGGCAGCGGTTTTGTTGTACAGAAATCTGCATGCTAGAAAATCGTCCCAAAAAGGTTTTAAGAACACTGAATTCGACCGTATTTTTTTAGGGAAAAGGATTTATTTCATGCTTAATATTGTTTAAATGGCGGTTTCTTGGGACAAACCTCAGCTTAAATGATTTTGTCACTATTTAAACGTCTTGTTTTAAACGGAAACCGCAAAAGATGAAACGCATCTAAAGAAGTCATGCAATATACTTCATATATATTCGCGGCATTTTACTGCAAAGAATTCCTACTGTTTTTTTCTGTGGTCTATCCCTTAGTATTTCAACGTCGGTTCAAACTTCAACTGAGTCAGTAAATAGTACTGCCTAGAATAGAGAACTACGAAAAACAATATTTTTATCAAAAGCATTGCATTATTCACGTTTAGATATTGCATGGTCAATGATGCTAAAACCGAATTTACAGATTGATATCAAATTTATCTTTTGACCAGGCGCCACGGCTTTTAAACAGGTGCGGACTCCTTCAGATAAGACAAAAGATAACTGAAAACCCAAGCGTAATTTACAGACGAGTTTAGAAGAAATAGCTCGTAGAAAATGTTTATGGCTTAAAGACATGTCTAATTTTCTATCTCTGACAAACTGATTGCATTGACTGCGAGCTCGAGGTTCAATTTTATCGGTACAGATTACTAGCCAATCAGATTGCGAGTTGGCCAATAGTCAGTCAGTCGCTTGGTCATGCTTGGTTACTGACTATTGGCAAACTCGCATTCTGATTGGCCACACAGAAGTCACAGAATCGAAGTAGTCTATGATATCGATCGATAGAATTCCCATCGAGCACGTGCAATTTTTATTTCAGTCATCGTTGAGAGAAACTATCAAAACAAAACCGTAAAACATTCGTTAGTTTATCTATATTAGTTTTTAATGCATCCGTAATTGAGTTATGCTATAGTTGACAAGCCCCAACCCAACATTGGGAGCTATCAGTTCGCACTTGCGAACTGTCTTTGCAAGTTATATAGTCAACTCTCTCTTGACGGACACCTCTGTAAGACGGACACTCGGTGTTGGTCCCTACGCGCCATTTTTCAGTCATGTCTGTATCTAAAGCGGACACCTATCTAAAACAGACAGTTTGTGCCGGTCCCGATGGTGTCCGTCTTAGAGAGAGTTCATATATATGAAGATTATTTTTTATATTTGAATGGAGTATTATTGATATATGTGTAATTAGTGATGTGTTTGTATTAATTCTTCCCACAGCAATGTCTATCAAGTGTTTCTCCTGTATAGGAATCATTGACACAAAATGCGAGAGCAGGACAACTGAAGTGGAGTGTCATCCTACAGGACAACTGATATATGACTCGTGTTACACAGTGACAAAAATTATGGACTACCCCCTGATAGGCAGACGAGTGGAGTTGTTGAAGAAACTGTTCTGTTTTGGCACACTGTGGGTTCTTGGAACAATTGGAGTGTGATAACCACTACGGATTAATCGACAACTGCTCAATTCAATGTTGCACTGGAGATTTATGTAATAACGAGACGTACCAGTACAATACGACCTCTGTAACACGCGAGAAGGTCACGCGGACGGTAACGCGCGCGATCACGACAAACGAGGCAACACGCGCGCCAGAGTTAACATCCGCGATAAGTATGACGTCGTCGGAGATTTCCACAACAACTGATCATGAGAGAGCGCTTACATCCTGGACTTCAGAAACAGGTCAAGTTGCCATATTTAGTAGTGCTATTCCCACCATCGAGCCTGCGGTCAAGGTGAATGCAATCAGCGGAGATGCAAAAAGAATCCTCGTTCAACCGCCAGTTTTAATGCTAATGGTGATTTTGGGATCAGGAATCATCTGCGAAAGATTGTAATAACTTAACGAGCAGAGAGCTTGTGGTTTTTTCACCATTTTTAAAGATAGATTTTAAGATTCGCTCGGTTGTATCATTATTGTCGTCAGTTTCTCGGTCACATTGATCGATATTAAGTGAATGTTCAGTTTATCGCTCAATAGATATCCGGAGTAACCAATCAGATTGCGGGTTTGCCAATATAATCACTGATTTTAAACGCTGTAGCTTTAATTTGCTTCCGAAAAAAACACTATCGACCACGTGATCTATTTAATCCAATCAGAATCGCTTAAAATGTAGTGAGAACATAAGAAATGATCATACGTCACGATCTTATCACCTACCTTATTATAGGAAATGAACGCTCCAAGAAATTAACGCGAATTTTAATAATTCGCGTTAATTTAAGTCGCGTTAATTTTGTGAGTTAATTTCCGCGACCTTAATTTCCGGTATTATTACCCCAAATTCTGGATCCTGTACAGAAATACCGATTTAGGAAAAATTTTGATGTTTGTCAAGCAATGGGTTCTAGTTCTGTTTTGTTCACTTTTTTATTAAAATAAAATTTGTTCC